TCCAAAGGCGCAGGAAAATCGCATTACGGCTTCTCCAGTGCAAACCACACTTCCAGCAAATAAATCAGCTGAAGAAATAAAAACGAGAAATACAGCAAAGGATTTTCTGAAACAGCGAAAAGGGTTCTTGTACAACACAATCAGAACGAAGATGTTTGGAAGTGATATCAAAACCGAAAGCAAAATGAAAGAAATTCCAGTCGCAAGACAAAGAGACTTCTCGAATTCCCGATCCATGAAAAATAAATGCTTCCTTCCTTCTCTGCTGCTGTAGTGTAGTGGTAATAGCGTCACAATTATCATGAAGTAATTAACAAATTCCTCCTCTTTCTTTCACTTTGTTTGCCTTAAACATGCCTGCGGGATATTGCTGAAGTTATTAAATTCATAACAACTAAATTTCACCTGCCATTGACGTATCAACAAGCGCAGGAAAATTCCCAAATCTGCTAATTAAAAAAAGAAACCACACACACATACATGAATAAGATAGGATCAAATACTGCTGTTAATTGGTGAAATAAATTGCATCTTTTTCAGAGTGTCCATTCCAGGGCTCAATATTCATATCCCAGATAATTCTAATTGAGTCCCCGGAAAATTTCTCTCAGTAACTTCGTAACCTTCCTTTCTTTGTTTTAGTTTTGTATGTTAAATTTTTTTGCATTTCATCTTTTTTTTCTAATCGCAACCACTTTCACAGAAAGTTTATCTACGTGCAACAGACTTCTAGCGAGATCAGTGTAAATTCCATTCCCTTCAAGCGCGTAAACTTATAACTAATATTTATCTGTTTTTTCTACAAAGTTTCACACTCTCAGAGGCTTGTATTATTTACAAAAGGTATAGGTTCACAATCAGACTTATTCTAATTTTTTCAACTTAAAACTTAATCCCTTTCAATTTGGTAAACGACTTCTCCTTTCACAGGTTTTAAAATGCTAAGCTTGCGTTGGTGCTGTCAAACAGAATTCGCTCATATTATGAGTCACACGTCACTCGCTAAATTAGTCATCGATTCATGCCGTTTCCCCACACGAAAGGGACTTTTAGTTTCGGATGTAGGAGCTGTCTAACTAAACTTGAAGTAGTCATCATTCATCGGATATTTTGCACACTTAGTATTCTTTTCAAATTCTTGAGGTCTACTCGATATTCATGATTTCTTCAGAGTTCACAGAACTCAAACAGAATTGCGAATGTCAAAACTCTACTTGCTTTTTTCTCGTGTCTCATTTACATGTAAGTGAAAGATCTCAGAACGGTTTTGTAGCCTGCCACATTTTTCAGTAATACAAACCAGGTAATAGTTATAACAGTGATACATTTCATCTACGTGACGAAATATTTTCCCCGCTTCCCATTGGCACTCTTTTATTTAAGTTCCTTTAATCACCGGATTTTGTCAAGTCTGACTCTGTCAAGTCAAATCATTATATCTTGCTAATCAAAAAGATCTTTGAAAGAGAAAATTTTCAGAGCTACTCATTCAAGACTTCCCCGAATAAATTCTTTATCACTCATCGCATAAACTTATTAATTCAAATATTTACAAGAATTGGTTTGCTCCTGAATCTGTAAGCAGGAATGTTTCATATCTCTCTTTGAAAGCTTGAAACATCTTTCTGTCTATTCTAAATGGATCCAAACAGAAAATTTCATATAAAGATGAGAGTGATCATTGCAGAAGAGTATATATATATATATATATATATTCGCCTACGGTCGCTGACGAATCGACACACTGGAAGTCGAACGGTGGATTAACATACCGGAAGTCGAGTGGCGTGAGCAATGTGTGAAAATAAGTAGCATGAAAAGAGAAAATGGTAACATGAACCTTCAACGCTAGAGTGGTTGCGTATAAAGGATGGGAGTGGTCTGGAAAAATATCAACATGAGAATAAAGATAAAGACAGACACGGACTCCCCATGTGGCTTTTGTGGTCGCGTTGCATTATCGCCTTCAAATTATATTTTTGCTCTCGCAAGCATGCCTTTAATGGATTTGGTCGGTCGACAGGTGTTTTTAGCTATATAGAAACGCGGTAGTAACATTTTATATTCGCGCGTATATCTAAGGTATAGGATTTAATCGGAGGGGAGGGGTGGGAATGAAGGAATTCTTTAAATTTATGCAAATCGCATGATGGGTTTTTCAGCTGTCTTCGCATTTTGAGAAGGCTTTGGAAATATGGACCAAAAAAACCAAATACGTGTATTGCACAAAGATAGCAACCTTTCGAAGTAACAAGGGCTCTAACTGGTTAAAACGGCATTTAATTATACGATAAAAATGCAGTGTAAGCAAACTTCAGCAGCAATTCAGATTTTAATTTCGCCACGAATTTTTCGGATCTATTTGAATTCCCGTGCCTAAGAAAAACAAAAAGAAAACGAGCTATTTGAAATCAGTAAGCCTGCTGCATGTAGCCGTGTATTCCTACCATACATGTTAATAACATAATAATAATAATAATAATAATAATAATAAACTGTACTTAAGTACGATCACGTAGTGAATAAGGGAAAAAGGTAGAAAATTTTTCGTCTTTCGAATGCTTGCATAAAATATACCTAATTCATAAAGAAATCAATATTAAATCAAATATATCAACACGACAGACAACTTCGACGGAGCTGTTTAAGATTATCATTCCGCAAAAAAAATGTTTTCCATTGATATTATTTCAGTCTATGTGTTTTCCTTTATTCTAGATCATTTTTAACACATTTCGAAAAACCCTAAGGGAAGTCTGAAACAGCTGTTTGACGAGAAAAACATTTATTATTAGCTTTTAGGTATTAAACTGTCAATATTTAGGAAACGGTTAACGGAATTCTGTTTAGAACTATTATGCCCGTGTTCAAAAACAGTAAATTATTATTATTATTATTATTGTTGTTATTATAACAAAGTGGTTTGCAATTAAAGATCGCAATGAACACAGTTTTATATGAAGAGAATTCTTTGTTATTTATTTATTCTTTTTCATGATGTAGTTATTTTCGAGTCAAATAGGCCTATTGCGAGCATTACTTAAGCGATAAGGTCGACTGGGTATGACAATACGAGTTGTGTTTTTAGGTCTTCGAACGCATAAAGTCGGCCTTCCCTAAAAAATCCTCCTTTTCCCCCGCGGGTGAAAAATAACGACTGGTCTTTTGGCATATTCCGCGTGACTACAATCCCTAAGGTCTAACATTACAGATTCTTCATTGTTACTGAAATAATTATTTAGATATATTGCGACGAAAACAAGGAACACTCATATCTAGCGAATCAAGTTTTAACTCTGAGAGTTTTTGAAGTTAAATAACTAATTTAGCTTTCGTGAGCAATTATCTCCATTTAGTGTTCCAAGAAACGGAAAACGTCACATATTTTGTCAATAATACCTTCTAGTGCGTGGCACGTGCAAGTAAGATTTTCCGCTTTGCACTACTTAGCGAGGATCGTCAGAAAAAGCGAACAAAAAATATTACAAGTGGAGGCGTAATTGTTTCGAAGCAACAAAAAACCTTTAACTTTCGAATAAAGCATTTGCTTGAAAAGCTAGTTTCGTACCTGTCATATTTTTTACTTGAGTAAAAAGGCTTACTGCGACTAAATTTCGGCGGAAATACCCGACGAAAATAATTTGCATGACAATCATTTGCTTGTAAGCACTGAGTAAACGGCTGGTTCTTTCTAAAAGGAGAATTATCAAGCCTTAGGTTTATATTGGCAAAGGTTATTTCGGACCGATCTTCAGCCACTGGCAATTATCTAGAAGGGTTGCATTTGGTTCAGCTTACAGGAACTAAACCCACCCAACGCAAACAAATGATGTTGATGAGAAGCTGCCAGTTGTGGGAAACACTCCTGTTATCAATAGCTTTGTTGAGTGAGTACCAGAGCTCCTTTTAAAAGATTGATTTCATTTAGAATGCAGCCTAAGCGCATTCCGAGGAGTCCATCTCATGGCTGCCTTTTGAGAATTCTTAGAAATAAAATTTAGCGCAAACAAAGACCACTAAAACTTTAGAATAGTTTAAGATTAGCCTGTGTGGCAGATGGGCCACACAGGTTTTTTTTCAGGAGGCCAAGACGAAATATTATAGGGGATGTATTTCATGGAGCCATTTTACCTATATATTATTGAGATACAGGCTTAAAGCCTGTTCTAACTCGTGTGTCTATCATGAAAAAGTGAAGCTTCAGCGCAAACATGCAAGTTGCGATGGGATATTTTAAGCCCGGGTTTTTTTTCTAATTTAAAGATATGCAAATTCTGTAATGATTAAAAAGATAGTCGAAATTTAGGTCGTCTCTCACCTATCACAAACTACCGAGCCTGAAAGCTTAACAATACCATTTCAAGTCTTTGAAGTCTTATTTTCTCCTTAAAAATTTTTATAAGAGTCAGATTTTCCTAGGTATTTAATTTTTCATGAATCTGTAGACAATATCTAAGAGGCCAACGACGCCATGCGGAAATGTTCTTTACACCCAGGGATGCCCTTATGTATTTATCAATTCCTAAGTTGCAAAACGTAGTTGTGGAAAGAAGGCTCACTCTTTAATCTTACAAGGGCCGCCTATCTTAGCAAAAAGTAATAAGATATAAAAAATTGAAGTAAATAGACAAAAACATGGATAAATAAATATAAAGAAATGAGTGATACAAAATAGCATAAAATACTGAGATACATTTCACCTATCTAGAAAGTTAGTTTTTAAAGAAACCGCTTTGTATCAACTTGTATATTCGAAACCTCTGTCAGCTTCGCGGTGGCTGAAGATTCGGTTTAAACGAAATGGTGCTTGCAATTACTCTGCTATAATGGCAGTTTCCATGAAAATCATATTCAGCAGTTTTATGCAACAGTGGTTTAAAGTTGTTTATTTGCCCAAGAAGGTCTCGCGATACCTTTGTATTCTTCATAATTATCGTCATCATTATTTTCATATTTAGAATTCATAAATTTTTGGTTCTGTTCTTGTTTTTATTGTTTCAGGTTTTGCCCTGGGTAGTAAAGATTTCGATTCCAATAAATGTTACTCGGAAAGTGAAAATGGAGGCGATCACTGTTATCCGCTCGGGAATTACAGCAGTGGTAATTATTTTTGTTATATGAAATGCAAGGGGAAAGGGTGTAAACAGACGTGCTCTACTGGAGTTGAGTTCTGTAAAATGGATCTGGAATGTGAAGGTAGAGATTGTTACCAAAACTGCGACGCTAACGAATGTAATCTGAACTGCAGCGGGAAAAACTGTAAACAGAAGTGTCAAGGTAAAGGAACTGTATGTGAAATGGATCTAGAATGTGACGGTGAGGATTGTGAACAATTCTGCGAGGCTAAAGAATGTAATCTGAATTGCTCCGGGAAAAACTGTAAAAGTCAGAAGTGTGAAGGTAAAGGAAATGTATGCGAAATGGATCTAGAATGTGACGGTCAGGATTGTGAACAAACTTGCGAGGCTAAAAAATGTAATCTGAACTGTACCGGGAAAAACTGTAGAAGACAAAAGTGCCAAGCTGAAGATAATATATGTGAAATGCATTTAATATGTAACAGCCAGGATTGTGAACAAATCTGCGATGCCAAAGTATGTAACCTGACCTGCAGCGGGAGAAGATGTAAAACACAAAGCTGCACAGAGAAAGTACAGGAGTGCATTACGCATTTTAACGCTAACGATTGTACGCAGATGTGTGACGGTCACTCCATCACTTCAGATTCATACACGTCGAATATCGTTACATCAATTGGGGCCTCAACAATTCGAGTATTTGCCACTAAAATTTCAACAGGAAATGGAACAGAAGCTCACAGTAAGTACAATAATAGTTTGAATACTTACAACACTCTTTTTTTGTTTTACGAAGTAGTGTTTAAGATTCTAAAAAAGAAATAGAAAATATTTTCTTTTAAAATTCGTCGCGCCCTACCATAGCGTCAATTTTATTTTAACAGTTAAATGTTTTTCAACATTCAGCTCTCTTACAATCAATGTCGCAGTCATCGTTAGCATTTATCTTACCGTTACCATCATCTTCATCACACCCACCATCAGCAGCACTATTACCAGCAGGGATATCAGCATCTACATCAGCACTATTAGCATCATTATCAAAGCCAGAAGCAATATCAGTATCAGCATCAGCAACATCATTGGAAGCAACATCAACAGCAGGGGCATCAGCATCTTCATCAGCATTATCACCATCATTATCAAAGCCAGCAGCAATATTAGCACCAGCATCATCATCATTATTGTCATTATCATCGGAAACATCGGCAGCAGGATCATCATCGTCTCCGTCTCTACGGCCACCTCTGTCATCGACGTTGAAAGTTATTAAGAATCTGGTAAGCAAAGTATTTCTCTCAAGCTTTTTATTTACAATATTGTTGTTCGCCAACTTTATTGTCTTTCTTTATCTCAGGCCAACAAAACTGTTTCCAAACTAAAAGGAAAAGAAATGAATAGAATCTTGTCCTTGATGGTATGAACTTACTACTTGCTTATCTTTAATGATTAATCCACTTAGTATACATGAAATGTGCAATGATTAGAAAGACTGACCAATGCAACACAGCAGTTTCTAAGCTTGAAAAAAACTTCGAGTTCATTTGAAAAGAGCAAACAAGACTGTATCAATATCGCCATTGTCCTCATTGTCATTATGATGATTATTACAACATTGTCATTATCACTATCGTTATTATTATCATCAATAAGATATAAATCGATACGAGCGAAATAATTGCTTCCTTAACTTGTGCACATCCTACACACCATTTGACAATCTTGCAGGATTTTTGTTCTCTTACCCATTTTTGGTTTTTATTCATTTCTCTAGCAATTTCTTTTTCATAATCTAACTAGGAGTAGACGAAATATGGGCCTTGCTAGTACAATTAATGCGTTACCTTTACCTCAAACTGTTTTGTTAAAATGTCATCCTTTTTTAACAAAAATTTGTGATGTTATTACAGGAGGCTACACGGATTTTTGAAGACTTCATCACTAGTATCCAAATCCTCCAAAAACCTCTTACCAAAGAAGAAGTCGAAAAAATAAGAAATTACATCTTTAAGGTGGCAGTCGCCTTGGAACTATTCGCCCTTAATTATGGCAAACACCAAATGATCAGAGCGAATTCTTCAGTGGAGATAAACAGCCGAAAACTAGGTGAGTCAGAGCATGATCATTCGTTCGGATTCTAAATAATCCGTTACTTACACTGTTTATTGACTGACACTTTGACCAATGACATCATGGCGGCTTTGATGATTTAATTGATCAGTGCTGTTAAGCCGGTTCATCCTTCCCGTTAACCATTTTTTAGATTAATCATAGTGATAATGGACAATTTTTACCAGCGATTAGAATGTTGAAAAGCACTAAAACCTCAGCTTTCCGATGTCTTGATGATCTCATGGCAGTTGTACTATTTGGAAGATTATGTATTGAATACATTGCTTTCAAACAGGTGTAATTACCATATTTGGATTATGGCTTACTTTCGGACCGACACGAAAGATATTTCTTTGAAAATATATTACCCTTAATTTCGTCTTTATTTACTTTTTCTCCAACAGAGTTGGCCATACAAAAAACCTACCGCAAAAATGCTAGTGACTTTTATCTTGGAAAACAAGAACTGCAAACGAGCCTGAAAGTTTCTTCTAAAAACTTTGCTAACAATGGTTTGTTATTGACTTCAGTTTTTAAATCCTTGATGTGCTAGAACAAAGCACATTTTTTATTCCTCTACAAGTCTTTGCAGTTTTTTTTTTACAAGTTTGTTTGTTGGTTTACATAATCTGTTTGATTCAGATATTTGCATTAGCAACTTGGATTTCATATAGTCATGTTGTAGCCAGTTGTTTTTTTTACTTTTCTAGTATCAGTGGTTGTTGGGATCGTGTACAAGGATCTCCATGAAGTATTAGTTACAGATCAACCCTTCAGAACCATAACGGGCACCACAAGGTAAGCTTACCTCCTAAAGTTTCTTAACCACATGCCCTTTCCATCGGAAATACACGTAGAATACAAATAGAAACTCAAGGGGTTGAACTTATGAGGTCGTAAATTTTTTTTAACCCTATTCAATGATCTTTTCCGTGTTTGATAAATTAGCCTTTAAGTAACACTGGTTTGTATAGGCTCCTAGCTTGCTATTTTCATTAAAATGATTACTATGCTTCAAATTGATATGCTTCACATCGATATTCTATTTCCTACGAAGGTATTTGGACTCCGGGATAACGGCCGTGGCTATAGATCCAAAACCAGAAAAATTACAAGAGAATGTCATTTTAAGGTTCAGAAATACGAAGGTAAGAACACAATCAAACTGAGTTGTTTTACGTTGTGATATTTATTCCGAGTACATGATTTCAATGTTTATATTCCGAGTACAGGTACATGAAGGAGAGAAGAAATGCGTGTTTTGGAGTGGCTTAAGTGAAAGGTAACAGCTGGAATGTATTTTTCATCCTGTTCCAGGAGTAATTGATTCTTCTAAAATTATGAAGAAAATGTAATGATTATTACACTTAAATGGGTGTTTTTCTAGGTTTATTATTAACCGTCCATAATTCCTCACTCGACTTTGAAGAGACGTTGAAACTTGCCTCACATTCTAAAAAGGCCTTTCAAGGTCAATCTGTTTCTTTTTAAAATGAAGGCATTGATTTGTTAAATGTTGCTTATTTCGGAAGGTTTTATTGTTGCTGTTTTTTTTTCTCTTTCTCTATATCTATCAGTTGCTTATAAATTCCTTCCGCCTATTTTTATTATATGTTCATTGATTTGTTTGGTGGTATGTGTGTTTTTGTTTGTTTCTGTGTTTCTAGCCTTGCTTGTTTTCTTGTTTGCTTTTTCACCTAAGCTAAGGTGTATCAATGTTTCACGAGTCTATTTAAGAATTGTGCATAGCCTGAATTACAGTATCATCATCATACCATTTTCCTCAGTTAGGAAGTGCTGACCGTGATCACTCAAAGGCATATCCATGAGTGGCAGGGAAAAGATGTCGACAAACGTCAAATTCGAAAGTACTCGACGACGTGTAAAGGATATGAACTCAGCGAAAGAAAGACAGAAAATAAACCCATCGGTACCCTGATGAGTTTTCGGGGCTGTTCCGATTTATATTTTGATCATCGTCATCATCATCATCATCATCATTATTATTATTATTATTATTGTTGTTATTTTATTTTCAGCCCAGGCGGATTTTCAGAGACAGGATGCCATGTGGTCACATCGAAAAGCAACTCAGAAGAAACAGTTTGCAGCTGCAATCATTTGACTCATTTTGCTGTCTTACTTGACTACAACGGTAGCCCAAGGGTAATGAATTGATTTTCACCTTACCTTTAGCACTGGTAATAAAATTTCATCGGATTAAGTAACGAATCCAATGACTATTCATCTCTCTTCACAGCTCACTGTGGAAGACGAAACTATTCATGAAATTATCACCTACGTAGGATTGAGTCTTTCCATATTCGCGATTCTTTTGACAATTGTTTTATATTCCTACCTCACGTAAGTACTGTAACCATACGATCAAAGAACCAAGTCTTTGCATGACCTTAAATGATTTAGGGCTTAGAACGGACAAGTTCTTTAAAAAAAAATATCGATTAAATTAAAAAGTATATTGAACAAATAAAATAATAACAATAATAGCAGAATAACGATGATTAAAATGGAATAGGAATAAATTAAATTTATTAGCGAAAGTAAGATGTTTAAATTAGTACAGTACAAAATTAATAGAATACCTTGTCAAATATATTTTCGTTTTGTTTTTGCTTCTGTCTGGTATTTGAGTTTTTGTTTGTTTGTTTTTTTTCCTGTTTGTTTGATTGTATTTTTATTACTTACCTCTTTCACTAGAGACGTATGGCAACCTTTGACTCAAATAAGACTGAGTCTTTCTGTAGCCCTCGGAGCTGGACAAATAATCTTTCTCGCCGGTATAAACGCCACAGAAAATACGGTAAGTGTTGTATTTATCTATTCATGGCTTATTTGCTCTTTAGGGGCATAAAATATTCTTTAAAAAATAATATGAAAAACAGACAAAATTTTTTTCCTCTCTCTCGCAGGCTCTCTGTGTCCTAGCAGCAGCTTTATTGCAGTATTTCCTGATGGCAGCTTTCTGTTGGGTGCTGGTGGAGGGAACTTATTCCTTCCTATTTCTTGTGAAAGTTTATAACATCAACACCAAGATTCATATGTATCACTTCATATCATGGGGTATTTTTATTTCACTTGTTATAAATTATTGTAAGCTGCTGAATCGGAATCGCTTCAAAAAATGGACGTATGACTTCTCGAGTTGCACTAACTTCATTCTACTTATGTTTAGGTTTGCCCATCATCATGGTTAGCATTTCAATAAGCATCGCTGCTGGAAAAGACGGAATTGAAAGCTATACCAGTGAAAAATAGTATGAGAAACAGTAAATAATACGCCTGCAGTTTCTTCTCTCTTCTTCCTCTTCCTTCTCTCTCATCCTCTCTCTCTTTTCTATTTAAATAATCAGCGTTTCACGACGCATTGCTGTTGTTAAGATCTCTTCCCAGTTTTCCTTTATCACTCCATTTGTTTTCACTTGGAGTTGCCTTGTTTTATGGTGCAGTTGTGTTTGATTTGTGTTATGCTCTGTAGATTATTTTCTGGAATTTAACTTTTTTTATATACTCGTTTCCAGTTGCTGGCTGTCCTCATATAACAACCTGATCTGGATCTTCGTCACATTTGTAGCTGTCATTGAAGTTGTGAGTCTGTGTTGTTGTTATTATTGTTATTATTATTATTATTATTATTATTATTATTATATTTTTATAATTGTCGGTATTATTATTGTTATTTCCTATACCAGGACTACCTGTTATTAGAGATTTTTATTACTAAACGTTTACCGTCTTTCAAAAAAATATCAACTCCAATTGATATTCCCTTGTGTTTTTCTAACTTCCATTCCTCTTGGTTTGCGTATGAACCAAGTAATAGCGTGGCGCAGCACAGGGTTGATGCTGCTCATTATAGAGACGTAGGAGCGCGTTGGTAAGCTGAAAACATCGGGTTTCATTTTTTGTAAAGATTCAGAATTTTCTTTTTTCAAACGCTCGTAACAGGACTAATGACAATTTTTCTGTTTTCGGCGATACATTTAGTAGTCCTTATTTTTTTCAGCTCAACATTTTGATACTCGTCCGAGTAATGAAGGAGATGAGCAAATTAACGCAACCCACGGGGGAAGACAACCATATACAGCAGATACGGGAAGTTTTCAAATTTAACATTTACTAGATAATTGTGGTAAACTAGTTAAAATTCAGGGGGGAAAGGTAAATAATAACTAGTTTCTACAAGGACTCGTCGAGCAATGAAATCGAATTGTTGCCGCATCTAGTCTAGCAGTATTTGCCTAGATTACACTCTCGTTCGTCTGCAACGATGAAGCAATACGATTTTGAAAAAAAAAAGGTTATATCACGTTACAGAAAGAAATGGTTAATCGATCCTCTTCATATATTTTTGTCGTTATTCAGACTTGGCATTAAAACATGCTCGGTGATGATTCCACTGCTGGGTGTCACATGGCTTTTTGGTCTTTTTTTATCATCACACAAAGCTTTCGCCTACCTTTTCACCATTTTCAGCTCTACTCAGGTGAGCTTTTAATAAAAGTTAGTCTATAATTAATTTTTAGTAATCTGTTTACATACTTAAATGCTCAAACTACTCTTTACCTAAAAAAGACTCTTTTGGTTAGATGATATTGCCTATTCAAAATAATTTACCCAACAGCAGACAATCTTTATTGGTCTACAAGATATGCGACTTGCTTTAATTCATTCTTTCGCCACCTTTATTGCGGTTTCATCTCAAACGATCGTACCGTTATCACCTTTATCACCCAGATTACAAAAAGTGTAATACTGATATAAGTATCTGTTTCAGGGAATCCTGATTTTCGTTCTTCATTGTGCGCGGAACAGCCAGGTAAGATGAATATCAAACCGAGGGTGTACACAAGACGAATTGTAAATTTTCTAGACATCAATAAAGGTTTTGGTGGTTAACATTTGATATTTGGTCGCCTGTTCATCTGCAGATTAGAGAGCGATTGAAAAGGAAGACGAACATCACTTTCCCATCTGCTGTAGATCATGGAAATTCTGCGAATAGGGGCCCACAAGTTAATCCAAGAGATGCCGGCGAAATGTGGGCGGTAGAAGTGCAGTCTTTCAAAGAATAGTGCCATACAGTATTCAGTAATTCAATTTAAACGACTTTAAGTGATACTGTTTTTCCATCTGTAAAAATGAAAAATCCACAAGGAAAAGCTCACAGGTTAATCCAAGTGATGTCGGTGATATGTGAGCAGTTGAATTGCAGTCTTAAAATAAGTTGGAATTTAAAAAAAAAATTAGCTTAAATAACTGGATTCACTAGAAAGAAAATGAGCGTCGATTATCTAAAATCGTATCATACATTCAAGTCTCACTTGTTTAACACTAGTACACGTTTTACTGTATTTCCTTTAAACCACTGTTTATTAATAAATATATATATACGATTTAATATTGGTCCACATTTTGAGTACACAAGGTAACACTAAGCTACCTGTAAGAATACTAAATACGATCGTACTTTTGTAATAGAGAGACCTAGTTACGCCCATCTATTTTGTGTCCTCTCGTTGCATTAGAAAGAGAATAGATGAGATATCAGAGCTTTGTGGTGATTCTTAAAGGATATTACTCCTGCAAGATATAAGTACAGACATATATCGAGGAGCACGAAAACTTTTCATCACCATTGCTCATAATTATTGATGCAACGGAATAAAGGTCAACACATTCGTCGTTGAGCAACAGAGATCGATACCTTTCACGTCTCATTTAAGCGAGATGACCCAGAGATGCTTCTTTTTATTCTCTCAATATAATGATTGTGTGATAATGAATGGTCTGCATAACCAATAATTCCAAACTAATGTATCCAAAATGAATTAAATAAATTAAAAGATGATATTTGAGTGTTCATGGAGAAGAGCAGGTGCGAAAGGTAAAGTAACGGCAGAGAAAGTTAAGGTAGCGTCATCATTTAAGTTGTAGGATCATTTTAAAATTAGTAAATTACTTCAAGTAGAGACATATTTGTTCCGTACCGGTTCGAGTTTTTTAAGCGTTCTAAAAACACCGAGAGTGTTATTTCAATAGGAAAGTAAACAAGGAATCTTAATTGTGAATAAGTAACCGTAAGAATAACATTAGCAGTTTTTGTCCTAATTGATACAAGATAGTAACTTTCTCGAGATTGGGGATAACACAACTATTTAATTTTTTTTTGTCTCCCTGCATGATTGTGGATCGCAGTCTATTCTATCAAAAGAATTACGAATAACGAAATGAAACAGTTTCTTTCGAAATTAATTGATTATTTTCCCATGCTTAGTTTAAGCAGGTGCAAAGAATTTAACCTTAGAAAAGACGTCAAGAATTGACATGTCATTCAATTTCCTGCAAAATTTCTTCAGTAACAGAAGGATGATGTTGACTACAAACAACACACCCTAAAAGCTTATCCTTTCAGCAAGAGGGTGATCATGAATAAAACAACGTGCAGAAGAAAGCGGAGTTTAGTTCGAGTAATTACTTCGCAAACGATAGCTATCGCCAAACTTGACTCATAAATTAGTCTTAAAGAGTTAAAAAAATAACTGAGTAACGCTACATCATCTGCGCTATTACGAAAGGTGAAATTAACAAATTTTTTTCTCTTCGCAATTTTTTTCGTTTTTATTGCACAAAACATCTTTCCGCACCTGGTGCAAAAAGCCTTTAGGCTTATTGGCGCGTTTATAAAGGGAAAATAAATGTTGACTTACGTCATCAAGAAACGATCAAGTGTTTTGATGTCCATTACACTTGGCCTCCTATAAAGGGGTTTGAAATACACTGACATGTGAAGCAGAAGAGATGCCACCAAATCACGAACCAAAACAAGCATACTGACAACTGCTAACGGAATCTTATGATGAATGATGCGATGAAAGGGCTTCAATCCGGTAAAATGATCACAGCCCTTTGTTCGCTGAGTAAGTACAAGCCTTACTACATCGATTGATTATGCTTTGTAAAAGTAAAATTAGTAGTAAATACTATGATGAAGAAATGTAGCAGGACAGCCAGCGGCCTAAGCCAAGATCAAACCTGAAAAGGATATTTCAATTGGAGGTTATCAGCTTCTTGATAACAAAACAAGTTCAGATTGTGATCAAATGAATGAATAAGTAAGGTATAAAGTAAAAATAATGCAGGCGATATATGTGTGTTTTTTAAATTTTATTTTAGCTTCAAAACGATGCAAAATGATTTGAAAAGAATTCGACACAATGGCATATATAAATTATAATTATGCAGTTTTAAAAATGAAGTCGTCATTGTTATTCATAATTATTGTTCTGTCTTGACGGTTAGCAAAACAGTTTTTAGCACAGATATTTAGCATCAGAAAAACAAAAAAGGTAAGTCACTATCCTCTGAAGCTACCTTCACAGGACGTCACCGGGGAGATACGCATAAATCTATTGAGCGCCTGACAAAAGTTCGTCTTTCGATGAATAAAATACGAAATAAATTTCACCAGTCGAAATGAAAAGTATTTTGCGAAATGAAAAGGAAGTTTCGTTCGTTTGATTTGTAAAACGGTTTTTCCCCAAGCGGTCACCGAAACCTCGTAGCAATAGATGAGATATATATATATATATATATATATATATATATATATATGAACATATAGTCATTTTGTGATGGAAGCGGTATATTCTTTATATATGAACATATATATATATTACAATATTTATATTTTGCATCGATCCCATGGCCGCAGCAGTATGTCATTATTCGTCGAATTCGATAACTTTATTTTCAATGAATTTTTATGTGGCTTCAGTTAAGCTTAAAAATGTTTTGCTAATCTTCTAATCAATCGATCGAGACAGTTTTGAGGCGAAACTGGATCGTTTGCATGTCAATTCTCATTACTTTTCAACTCTTTCTTTAAACATAAATATACGCACGGTATTCCCATAAAACTATCTGCAGATATCATCCAAATCTGTTTCAAGAACCGAACATTTTTCGACTAACAAATAATTGTTTAATTCATATTTTGACCTCTGAATGACTGGAAGAACGATGGAATCTTCATGAAAGGTTAGCTAAAGTTAAAAGAGTACGGAAAAGAAAGGCTTAGATGCACTAATATCAGCATCACTCTGGGTAGGCACGTGAAATCTTACCCGTTTGTTTGTAGCCCTCATCGAGTTACTGCGAGGCACATAGTGAAACCGGATACTTTTTTTTATAGGCTTCTCTTATTGTAATTTATTGGTATGGGCTACACTTGAGAGGATCCTTTCGATAGTTTGAGCTTCGATGAATTACAAGACAACAAGCAATGCAGTTTATTTCTTTTTCTCCAACGACGCAAAAATAATAAATCACTCTTGAATTAGCAAATCCTATGTTCTGATTGGCTACCCAAGCAAGAAAGATAAGCCTATTTGCCAGACTTGTGAGAGTCCATCCAGTCACTTCAAATGCTTAGACCAGTTGCATGCGAGTGGAAATACATTTATTAATTTATTAGTAATTGTTTCACTTGAAATCAAGAAACATTTTCTCTAATTGTTTAAATATCAATGCAACAAAAAATCAATGCACATGTCTATTTTATTCCTCTTCTGCAGTCATTATTACTCTAATGATGCAATGGAAAGGAACAGGTAAGACAGCGCCATTCCAACTTTAACATTTATATACCTAAAACAGAACTTAAAAAAGAAGAAATTCCGCTTGTGATACTAAACACGAACTGGAAACAAAACATGAAACTTAAAGAATAACACTACCACCACCCAGATCTCCCCAATTTCCATTTCCAATTTCAATGTTTGCTTTAGGGAGGTAAAATGTTTTATCCTCATTGTTTATGAATAATATTGTTAATATAATAATCAATACTCTTCGACTCCATCATCATCATCATCATCAAAACTATCACTATTTCTATCATCAATATAATCTACTTATTTTGGTATATTTATTTACTTATTTATTTTGTAGAAGAATGCCAGGAGACACGTTTCCAAACTTCCTGGTACACATTTTCGAAATGGGGAAGAAGTTGGCGGAGGAACAGAAAGGCGTGCGAATATCAGGGAGGTTACCTAGTTTCTATCGAAACTCAAGAAGAGTGGCAGTTTATCAATGATGAAATTCAAAAACGTTCTTCTTGGAATACTAGTGCGTGGCACATTGGTTTAAGATTTTGCAACAAGACCTGGACTTGGTTAAGTAGAGGAAAACTGGATTTTTCGAAATGGCGAGATTCTGAGAATAAAAGTCGTGCGGAAATATCCAAGAATGAAAGCCTTTTTAGCAAAATTTCTCCGTCCGAAATCAACGCCTTCATTTGTGAAATGCCCGAAGGTAGATAATCATTTCAGCAATAAAGTACATTACATGCTAAAGTATGCCCTCCTAGAACTGATCTGATGAAAATTTCTCTGGAAGATGAATTTTCCAAAAAATCGAGATACTGCTATTATTTTCCTAGCGTTTTTTAATGTCCACACGAAAACACTTGAAAACACATACATGACTTCATGCGACCTGCTTACGCATCGATCTGTGTGTACCTGCACGAACGCAATATTAAGCTCCAGTTAAGCATCGAAAACATATCCATATACTCTTCTGCTATATTTGTTTTGAATTTATTGAGACGGGAGGCCTGGAAAAGAGGTTGCACGACACTATGACGTCATTCAACGTCATCGTTTTCAAAAAGCTTCGTATAGAACTGTCCACACTAAAACGATATGCATACGTTTTCAAATGTTTCCACCTTTTTACGAAGGAAAACGCATAAGAGAGGACGGGTTCTTAAATGACACTGATCGACGAGCTATGTAATATTACAATAACAATGAAAATGCTAATCATAATAACAATGAAAAATTCGTAATGATGATGAAGAATCAAATAATTATAAAAACAATAAAGACACGCCAGTCTATCGGCTGGTTTGTTTGTATCCTTGATTGCCCTTGTAGTTTTCTCATTATTACCATCATCATGGTCATTATTTTTATCATCATTGTTTTTATTTCATAGAATGCCCAAATATGTCTTTTCAAAACTCTTGGTATATATTCACGAAAAAAGGAGACAATTGGACGACGGACAGAGGCATCTGCCAAAGTCAAGGAGGAGATTTGGTCTCCATTGAAACCGAAGAAGAATGAAATTTCATCGGTAACGAAATTCAAAATCGCAGTACGATGTCTAACTGTTCACGTGCTTGTAACCATAATCCTCGTTATGATAAATGGTATATTGGCTTAGAAAAAAAAGGTTAAAATTGGACTTGGGTGAGCGGAAAACTTGTGAACATGCCTAAATGGGCAGGAGAGCCAAATTGTGAGGGATCTGTGGCTCACATATGCAAGCAGACTATTAAAGGTAACCAGAGCCTATTTTGTGGCATTCATGGCTCTGAGAAATTAGCTTATATTTGCGAAATTCCCAAAGGTAAGACAAAATTACTCTTAATTTTTGATATTGAATTAGGTTAAGGTGCACTAAAAGTGCTCGTTAACTGTAATGCAAATATTACCTATGGTTTGTATACTTACCATTGCTGTTATGGTAAGCAGAACTCATGGAGCCTCTGGCAATCAGGATAAAATTTTCACGTGGATAAATATTTCACGATACATATTTCTCACTTTTAATCTTGTGGACGACGAAAAGGCAGCAGATGCATAATTTCTGACAGTTTTTGCACCTGACCATTACTTGGACCCCGTATCAATAATAGTAATATATAGGACTGAGTGTCATCCAATTCGGTCTGTAAGCATACGGGTGGTAAAACCAATTAATCATAAAAATTACAATTTCTGAGAAAAGAAGAAATATTGTCATTGTTCAAGTGAGAACATTGTCCATTTTGAAGAAAGCCTTAATTTAGGAGTCTGTACATTGTACACTGTACACTGTGTGGTGATTTAAACTAAAGTTGTGGGTTATTGATTCGAACTCAACTTTAAATGTGACTGGTTGATTTGAACTACAACTTTGAATGTGATTGTCTCATTAAACCGTCTGGTAACAAACTGTCCGATAAAAACTTGGCTCTGAATTTTAGAAAATAATAGAAGTTGATTGTGGGTGCTAGTTTCAATGCGATGTAGAATATTCAGAGTACAGAATATACTGACTATTATGAGCCTTCCATTGATAAAGTAATCGGAGAAAGCGATTCAATTATTTGCCGTCCTTTCCCGAGTTTAGAAGTTATTTGTAAGACGCGTGAAGACAGTTTTAGAGCTAAATATTAAAAAATAAAAAATAAAAAATTTAAATTAAAAAAAAACCTGAACCAATTTATTTCAATGAATATAAATTGAACTTAAAATGTAGTATAGAAAACAATATGGGAAAAAATTGTTTCTGAGAACATTTCTTTAGTAATTATTGTTGGCGTTATTTGCGTCGATTTCAGCTTCACCATCATTGTTCTCATTCAAAATTGCAGAAAAATCTTCACCATCCGAATCTATAAGGCCACAACCCACTCCATCGCCAGTTCTGTGGTCATCATTGTTTCCATCGCGTTCGCCGTCACGATCACCGTCATTGTCTGTGTCGCAGACGCCGTCGCATTCGATGCCGCAGTTGTTGTCTCCATCACTGCCTCATCCACCATTTCATCTGCTATCTCAGTCGCAGTTTCCGTCTTTGTTGCAGTCACCTACCAAATTGCCTTCCCAATCGTTTTCTCAGTCATCGCCACAGTTGCCTTCTCAGTCGGCGTCACATTCGCCGTCTCAGTTGCAATCGCAATCTCTTTGGCTATCCACTTCCCAGACGCTTTCTCAGTCACTGTCGCAGTCGGTATTTCTCTGGACGTTTCAATCAGCTGCACAAACATCTTCACCATCTAAATCCATAAAGTTACGTCCCAATCCATCATCGCCGCTGTGGTCATCATCCTTGACATTGTTTTTGCTGTCACAATCACCGTCCCTGTCGATGTCTCAGTCACCTTTTTCACAGTCACCTCAGTCACAGTCTCAGTTTCCTTCGTTGCGGTCACCTCTTCACTTGCTTTCGTCCGTGCTCTCGCCATCGCAGTCATTATTGCCATCGACATCATCATCGGCGTTGCAGTCAACAAGGATTCAAAAGCTGGTGTGTAATTTTTGTTTTTTGTTTTTGTTTTGTTTTTTTACTTTTAGGATCCTCATACTCTATAATTATAACTGTTATTTCCCTTACCTCAGGCGGCGGAATATGTTTCTAAACTTAGCAGAATGAATATCACCAACGCCAGTTCCTTACAGGTATTTCATTCTTCTAATTTCTATACGCAGTTATGGAACTGAAGTTCTAGTCAGTATGTTTTGAATGTTCAAACGGAATCCGCAAATACGAATTTTTATTAAGCGTATAAATCATTTTTTGTTTGTTTGTTTGTTTTTCTGCTTTCGTCTCATATTGCTCGTGGCAGTAAAGATTAATGGCTCATAACTTTTTACTTGATTAGGACGTTAACCTGTATAGTTTTTCTCGCCTGTAAGAAAGCTATTTTAGGAATTTTTATAGATAAATTATCGTTATCAGTATTATTATTATCGTAATTACCAGTATGATTGGTATTTTTTTTTTAAATTCGTAGACGAAAACTGAATAATCTATCCTCCAAGTAAAATATTTTGATTTCCTGGTCTAGTCGATCTCTAACCTGTGCACATGCATTTGTGTCCGAAATTGGTTGGCTCTCTGGCTTGAATCATTTTCTTATCTATTTGTAATGATTTTTTCTTTATTTTCTTACCACAAATGCCTAGCACCTTACCTAAACAAAAATATTTCATGTCATTACAGGAAGCCATAGCGGTTTTGGAAATATTCATCACAGGTATTAAAAAAATCACAAAAGCTCGTAACCGCGCCCCTATAACAGATGAGATTGAGACAAGAAGAGGATCCACTCTTAAATACAGCAAGCTCCACCTGACTGGAACAAGGTCCTCACAAGTGATCGACAGCCAGACAATGGGTGAGTTTAAACAGCGTATAATCTATAGGCCTTGATGATGTAGTAAATTGATATAGGTTACTGAATGCGAAGCTTTATTGCTGGATCAATCGATCCATTCAGTCCTTCCATTGACTATTTATGTTCATCAGTCATTATGGAATTGGATGATAATATCCAGCGATCTGAACCCTTCAAAATGCTGACGTCTTATCATCAATTATTTTACAATATTTAAAGGATTGCGCTGTTGAGAGGTAAAGTAAATAAAAGCGTTTATGCAACTATGATATACAGACTGTATTTTCAGTCCAGTAAGTGTCGTGAAATTATTAATACCATCACCTGTTGTTTTCTTCGTTAGTGCTGGGTATTCATAAAGCCTACCACCAAAATGCAAGTGACTTCTACTTTGAGGATGAAGAATCGCAAGGAAACATAGATGTTTCGTCTGCAAATTTTGCGAAATCCGGTTGGTATCGACTGCAGTGTTTACTCCTCAATTGATAAGTACAATTCCCTGTATTCCCCTTACAAATTTACGTGGTACTGAAGTACAGCTGTGCATATACATAGTTCTGAGTTTGTTTGTTTGTTTACACAGTACATTTGATTCAGTTATCTGAAGTTTCGTGAAAGACCATGTTCTGGCTTAATTTTCTTTTTCTTCCTCAATTTCTTTTTTTTAAGTTTCACTGGTTGTTGGGATTGTGTATAAGGATCTCCACGAACTACTGGACACAAATCAAACCATCAGAAATGAAGCAGGCGAAGCCACAAGGTGAATTTTAACTTCTCTAAACTTTTAAACAAATTGTTTCTTCCGCGGAAAACAAAGAAATGCATTGCATTCAACCAACAAAATTTCTTAAATTTTTCAAAGCAGTATTTCGTGGTCCCTGTGTGAATCAATGACTAGTTTCGGTGTCAAGGAAATCAGCTTAAAGTAACACAGTAAGAGCTCCTTGGTTACCATGGTTACCGTATCGTCAAAAATTTTCTAAAAATTATATGATTCAAAATATACAAAATTATGATTTTCTTGTCTTTTTTTGACAGGTATTTGAACTCCAGGATAATGGCCGTGGCTATGGATCCAAAACCAAACAAACTGGAAACGAATGTCATGTTAAAGTTCAGAAACCTGAAGGTAAGAACACGATTAAAATTGGTATCAATTGCGCTACATTGTGTTTATTTATTCCAAGGAAATAATACACATTTTCAGGTTGATGAAAGAGAAAAGACATGTGTATTTTGGAGGGGCTTTAGCAAAAGGTAACAAGCTGAAATATATTACTACCTTGTTCTAGAAGCTATGCAAGCTAATCTTACGTAATCTTTGTTAATCGCTATGAATTTTTTGTTTGTGAAGGAAACACCAATCAGCTCTTGCAGCAGGAAAAACCAAAAAAATTTCAACAACATACGAGTGGAAAAGCTCCCAGTTGATTATTACGCCGGCATGACTTTCCCTTAAGTTATCAATTATCCGTCACTGTCAATCTGATACTTCCTGTTTTGAAGCCATTTCTATCTGCATTTTATTCGTTTTCATTTGCGGTTGTCGCCTTTTTTCGCTTCTGCCATCGTCTTACATATTGTTGCTGACAAAATCGTTTTGTTTACCGTAAAAGTAAAAGTTCGCCTTTTGTTTTTTTCTGTTTTTCCGTTTTTCAATTTTCTTCACATAAGGTAAGATTCAGTTGTGTTTTACCAGCCTGGATCGTCAATATACCTTTTCATCACATTGTAACAGTAAGAATATCAAAGCCGACTTCATGAGTAGTACGTATCAATTACTGAATAAAATGGAAAGTGGTCAACTTGGTCTCGAGGCTACGATTATAATGAGGAAGATAGCAAGTTGACCTTTTGGTAACCAAAAGTCTTCTTCAAAATTTTTTTTATAATATTGTTGTTATTGTCTTAATTTTTTTGTGTTATTTTTTTTAACGTTGTCGTTATTTTTCCAGCTCAGAAGGATTTTCAGGGAGAGGATGCCATGTGGTTGCATCGCAAAGCAACACAGAAGAAACAGTGTGCAGCTGCAATCATTTGACTCATTTTGCTGTCTTACTTGACTACAACGGCAGCTCAGGGGTAATGGACTAATGTTTACCTTACCTTCACTGGTAGTAATACAATTCCTTTGAGGTGATTGACACATTTCTAATTCTTTTCCTGCGATTTATGAAGCAGCTCACTGAGGAAGACGAAACTGTTCTGGAGATTATCACCTACGTGGGATTAAGCCTGTCAATCATAGGAATAATTTTGACGGTTATTCTATATTCCTTCCTTACGTAAGTGCTACAGCCAGAAATTTTGAAACTTTATATTATTTTAAAGATGTCCGACGTAAATAAGACCTCTTCGCGAAAAGACAGACACTCAGTCAATGCATATTGAAACAACTACCTGTTGGAACATAAAGTTACTTTCCTTTTTTTTGTTCGGTTTTGTTTTTGTTTTAGTCTGCTTGTTTTTATTTGTTTGTTTCTCTAGAGATGTTCAACAGCCTCTGTCACAAATACGATTGAGTCTTTCTGTTGCCCTCGGAGCTGGACAATTTATTTTTCTCGTCGGGATAAACGCCACAAAAAACAAGGTAAGCGACTTCTTCATCCATTGATGAATATTTGATTAACAAGACTCAAGACGAGCATTAAGAAGTACACCAGATCTCTTTGAAAAGATGCATGAAAAGTAGTCAACTTTTTTTCCTCTCTCTCAGGCCTCTTGTATTACAGCTGCAGCTTTCATGCAATATTTCCTGATGGCTTCGTTCTGTTGGATGCTGGTGGAGGGATTTTACCTCTACCTCTTTGTGGTGAAAGTTTACAACATCACCGAAAAGATGCACATGTATCACGTCATGTCATGGGGCATTTTCATTTTACTTGTTTTGAATTGTTTGACTTCATGATCAACTGAATCGACTTGCATTGACGTCCTACTTATGTTTAGGTTTACCCATCGTCATGGTCGGTATTTCATTGTGCATCGCTGCTGGGAAAGATGGAATAGAAAGCTTCACTAGTGATAAATAGTAAGAGAATCCTTCGACATTAGTGCTTTTTTCTCCTTCTCCACATTTCCTTTCTCCCACAAAAATGTATTTTTTTTAAGTACAACTCTTTTTGCACAATCTTGTGTTTTTAGTTCGTTTTCATTTCGTAGATTTTTGTGTCCCTGTGTTTTTATCCAGGTTTTGTGTCTCTGTCTCTGTCTCTCGTTCTGTCTCCCTCCCTCCCTCTCTTCTCTTTCTCTGGGTTACTGGGTTAGAGGATTATTTGCAGCAAAAATATGTTTATATGTTTATCTTATTTTCTTTCCGTTTCTCGTTTAAAGTTGCTGGCTATCCTACACAAACAACCTCATCTGGATATTCGCCGCATTTATGGCTTTTGTTGAAGTGGTGAGTCTACAATTAGTCAATCCCTCGCATTTTCCTTTTTCATGCCAAGGCTAACCACCGGTGGAGATTGTCTCTCTCGTTCCCATGCTTATTACAAAACGAAAACATATTCTGTTTTCGACTACCAGGCTCAAAGCTCACAACTTTCCAACTCTGTTTCGCCCACTATGTATTCAGCCTTACTCGTCTTAGCAACAAGCACTCTGCCAACATTTGACATTCCTTGTTTGTTTCAGCTCAACATTTTGATACTCGTCCGAGTCATAAAAGAGATGACCACGCTGGTGCAACCTATGGGGGAAGACAATCATATTAAGCAGATACGGTTAGATTTAAAATTTGCTGTTAGCGAAATATTTTTATCAGTGGAGGGAAAAAAGTTGAAGAAACATGAACCAATTGCTGTAGCATCTAGTTGTGAGGTATTTACCTCAGTTCCACAGTAGTTAGCATTAAACACAGAGTCATCAGTGTCTTAGGGTTAGGGCTACTGTTAAGTGTTTTTACCCTCTCTAAACAACGCCTATTAAACAATGAGAAATTAAAAGAAACAATCGTCAAAATAATTCAAATGTTTTTTTTTTAATTTTGTCGTTATTCCGGCAGACTTGGCTTTAAAACATGCGCGGTGATGATTCCACTGATGGGTATAACGTGGCTATTCGGTCTTTTGTCGCCATGGCACAAAGCTTTCGCCTACATTTTCACCATCTTTAACTCTACTCAGGTGAGTATTCGGTCTTTAGTCGTCATCACAAAAAGCTTTCGCCTACATTTTCACCATCGTCAATTCTACTCAGGTGAGATTTTAATGAAACTGTCGGAAATCTAATCATCTGTTTGCAAACTTGAATGTCCAAACTACATTCTTACATTAGTCTGATGATATTTCCCGTTCAGAGGGAACCTAGTCGACAAGAGAGGATTTATTTCTTGGTTTTTGAGATCTGCAACTTCTCTTAATTTACTGTTTTAGCCTCTTTTTACGACGATTTCAAGATAGAGATTACATGATGTTTGCACTACATCAAACTTTTTAAACGATGCGCTACCATCTCTAAAAAAGGCTGATCTTAAAATAATTTTCTGTCCTAGGGATTCCTGATTTTTTTCTTTCATTGTGTGCGAAACAGCCAGGTAAGAAAGATATCAAACTGAGGAGGTAGATCAAGTGAATTGTGAAGACTTCAGAATCGCTAAGCTTTGGATGGTTAAGAACTGATATTTGGCCAATTGTTCATCTACAGATTAGAGAGCGATTGAAAAGGAGGCTGAACGCAATTTTTCCATCTACCGAAGTTGGAAGCTCTGCAAGGAAGAGCTCACGAGTTAACGCAAGTGATGCCGGGAAAACACGGGCAGTCGAAATGCAGTCTTTCGATGCATAAATAGCACTGCGCCTCGGTGAGGCTCGTCGATCCTCTTTTAGTGATAAAAAAGTACTAATAGGTTTTTAGATTTGGTATCCGTAGTAGTTTTCGGTTTTTCCTATTGGGGTTCCAGTTCCTCTTCGATCTGAGGGCAGTTTTTTGCCTCCATGGATCTCACATAGCTGTGAAACCTCTTTGTGCTCCATCTGTCAACTGTATCGGATCGATTAGGGTTTTGACACCTAGGATGTGAAAAATCGGTTTTGATGGTTTTGGATGCGATTTTCGGCTTTTAGCGAATTTTTGTTGCGGTTTTAAATGCTTTTTTTTTTCGGTTCTGCGGTTTAATAGACTACGATGCCCCCCCTCTCCCCCTCTCAGTAAGGTAGGGCCATTCTGGTTATTAACGTAATGACATAAATACATGAATAAACCGTTTTTATAATGCTATTAGCTGTTGACTTTACTTGCAATTAAGAAGGGCCCCAGTCGGCATCCTGGAAAATCATGGGTCTATCTGTTTCGATGGGAAGTAGGCTCTTTGCAAAGGTAGCTTGGATAAATTGGAGACAGCACTGCCAGCAACAAAAGAACATTCATGGAACCTCGTTTTAACGGGACGGATACAATGATATAAATCTCACTCGGTTTGTCAGCCTTCATAAGATATTACTGCCTAGTGTTAATACTTTCAGAAGTGCTTTACATACCAAGCCGTTGAAGTTAGTCGACCACAATGTCTGTACTTTTATTGTTAAGTTTTAGGTTCGGCTAAATTAAAAAACTGTGTAAAAGCTTGATTGCCTGTAAATTGTGTTAAAAATACATATCAACGATTTTACCGTCTTTTTCTTCAATCTGTTTCCGTGTTCTATATAATAAGTCAGATACGTAATCAAATTGAATGTGACATTGAATAGCAATAATGGATAAATAAACAAATGTATAATAAATACATATTCACCTATCTAGTCATCATTGTTATTTTTTAAAGCTACATAATTTTTTTTCTTTACCTTTTTTTTCTTATCCATGTCAGGAAAATGACCAAATATGCTCAAATTTTTCGGAATCAATATGTAAGATCAAGTGTATTGCTTGAAATGTTGGAATGGAAACTAGTTAGAGAAAAAGTCAGCATCGATAGATGTAATATGAATGCATATACACAATTAAGAACTCTTACAGCGATTTTTCGCATTTGCCACTTCTTGCTTATCACCGGAACAAGTTTGAGGAAACATAAACAGGAGTATAGCAAATTACGTCACGTCTATTTCGTTTATCCCTAGAGGGGAGTAGGTTTGGACACCTTATTTTAAATGCAAAAGCAAGGGAGGGAAGTAAGTTGCGCGGCTGATATGTATTTCAGGTTCTTGGAAATTCAATTCATATAAGATCATGTATTCCTGTTATACGTATCCTTTCCTGTAGGTTCGAATATTTTCCGAAAAAAAATCCCTTATTAGGCAGAAATAATATTTCAGGGTCTGATGTCATGATAAGAGTATTGCATCGGTCGTTTGTCCACACTTTTATCTAAACACGGTTAAACCAAAGACACTTGTCTTATGTAACTCAATCATCGTTATTTTTTCTGCGATTTTTTCCTGCCTCCAACTTGCTGGGATTCCAATTGATGTGTATATTTCCATAGATATACATTTGCACACAACATTTCCGCTTATCACGACAAGTTTGTCTCATTTAGGAATATTCTTTTTTTTGCGGAAACGCGCTCGAATCGATTTTCAAAGACGGGAGGCCAATTCGACAAAAGCTCATCTTAGTGACATGCGAACGATAACGCGCGTTAAAAGAGAATGGAAATTTGTCACGACTCCCTTCTTAAGTCTGCTTTTCCTAATCATCTCCCTAATTCCATACTTTGCATCAATTCTTGTTGAGGCGGACTGTTCTGGTTGTCGCGGAAAGAAATGGCTTATTGTGCTGAGAGAATCTTCAGTGGTATTCTTATTTCTAAATTCAACTGTGAACCCGTTATTGACAACATTTCGGATCAACGAGTTGAAACATTCCTTAAGAATTGTCATCCCCGTGCAAAGACAGGAAGATGTAAGTAGTTTTGGAAGTTCTGTCCAACAGAAAACAATGAGGAATACAGCTTCCGTTTAACTGGCTTAACTCTACTCTGATCTAAAGAGTCTATCAACAAGCCAAACAAAGGATTCCTCTCAAGTTGCAGAAATAAAACCCTAGTCAACCTTGTGAATAACAACCACAGCAAGTTCCGTTTCTATGGTCGAATAACCCAACAACAATGCTATTAACAGGAAGTTCCTAAGCAAGCTATACCACACACCAGGCTCAAAGCTAATAGAGTCCTTTACTCGCCAGCAGTGACCTTAAGCAAACCACGACGGCGACGGCAGTGAAAACGAGGCAAACCAAAAGCTTTTAAGGAGCAAAGCAATAGCTGTGCGCGTGTGTTTTATGGTCTTTTATATTCCCTGACCGGTCTTTGCAAACCAGCAAGGTGGAATTATCACATTTTTTGCGGTCTGAGAACGGAACCCGCGGGCGAAATATTATATATATTTTTTTTTAATTCAACGCTGCTTACAAATGCTTTGTTGTGGCTGTTTTAGGATTGTCGACAAATGGTGCCATTGTAGCGACGTCAAACTCATTATTCCATCTGGGAAATTCATTAGAAAACTATGAATTTTTTCGTCTTTAGAGAACTAAGTTAACTCTTTTGCGTTGTCGTCCAGTCTGTTTAAGGCCCTTTACGCCAATTCTCCACCTCGAATGTTTTATGCACAACTTTATTTATTTATTTATTTATTTATTTGAGCTAGCCAAGGTATTATTAGGCTCATAACGTATATGACAGTAGCATGTCACCTGTTCGCAGTTCCGATTTTTCGATTGGATATCACTACCCCATTAGCTCGATCATGCAGAACTTGTTTGTAAACAAGGCCACATGCTACGTTTTTATGGAATTAGGGCTGAGGTTTTGCTGAAATTAACTAAGGAGTATAAACCTGAAATTCTGCATGCAATGAAACACTGGAAAACGACCTAGCGAGCAGCTAGATAGATTGATGGTAATTTTTGTTATTTGTGTCCCGTGAGATCTGTATCACCTGAGAATATCCTCAATATGCTTTTACTTACGTAGGTACTTATGGATGACGTTATATAAACTGCCATAATCATTCAGTCCAAGGTAATTTCAATACTAAAGAAGCAAAAACTCTTTAAAATGATGAAAACGCGGTTTCTTCGTACTTAAAAGGAAGATGAACATCATTTTCCCATGTGCTGCAGATCATGGAAACTCTGCGAAGAAGAGCTCACAATTTAACCCAAGTGATGCCGGCGAAGTGAGGGCGGTAGAAATGCAGGCTTTCAAGGAATAGCACCATACAATATTCGGTCATTCAATTTAAAGGATTTCTAGTGATACCGTTTTTCCACCTGTAGAAGTAAAAAATCCACAAGGAAAAGCTCACAGGTTAATCTCAGTGATGTCGGTCATGTGTGGGTAGTTGAATAGCAGTCTTAAAATAAGTTGGAAGTTTAAAAAGAAATAGCTTAGTTTTAATAGAACGAAAATGAAAGTCCATTATCTAAAATCGTATTATACATTCAAGTCTCACTTGTTTAACAATAATAATCATTTTACTGTATTTCCTTTAAACCACTGTTTATCAATATTTATAACGACTTAATGATGATCCACATTTTGAGTACACAAGGTAACACTAAGGTACCTGTGAAAATACCAAATACCATCGTACTTTTGTAATAGCAGTGGTAAAAGTCAAGTTTTAAATTTTTAATTAATAAATGAATTAAATCAACAGATAAAATAATAAATAATTAAAAACGAATGAATAAACCATATCTTTTAGTAATCTGTTACATTTTCTCGCATGACGAGGCACTTTGTACCCTATCGAGCCACAAAGTCACTTTTGATCACTTTGGATTAAATATCGGTGTACCGAGAAGCAATGAAACAAACTTCCACTGTCCCGTAGGGAAGAATCCCTCTGAGTTTTGATCGATCCTTAGAGTAAACCATTAGAGGGTGGAAGACAGGAAGGGGTTTTGGATCCATCTTAACCACCTTCCCTTCGCTCTCACCCCCCTAATTCCATCTCCCCAGGGGAAGATTCTAAGATGCCGGAGAAGTCCAACCACTCTCTTGGGTGAGTGCTTATGTTGCTCTGTTATGTTTTTGTCCGTTTTTTGGTTTGTTTCTTTGAATATGAAGTCATTGCCATGGTTGTAGGCGTGAATTCTGAGGAGGTACATGACACAAAATATTCTGAAATGTTAAATAGTCCTTTCCACTGTGTGATTACAAGCCCGTTAGATATAAGTTAATGCGGAAATTCATAACGACGACATCCCCACTTCCCCCCTCCTTTCAGAAGGGGAAGGAGGGGAAGAGGGGGGGTTCGAGAGACCAAGCTACGCCCTTTTTATTTGTGTTCTCTGGTTGCATTAGAAAGAGAATAGATGAGACATCAGAACTTTGTGGCGATTCTTAAAGGATATATAACTCCTGGAAGATATAAGTACAGACATATATCGAGGAGCACGAAAACTTTTCATCACCATTGCTCATAATTATTGATGCAACTGATTAACGATCGACACATTCGCCGTTGAGCAGCAGAGATCGATACGTTTGATCTCCCATTTAAGCGAAATGACCTAGAGATACTTCTTGTTATTCTCTCAATATAATGATAGTGTGATAATGAATGGTCTGCATAACCAATAATTCCAAACTAATGTATCCAAAATGAATTAAATAAATTAAAAGATGATGTTTGAGTGTTCATGGAGAAGAGTAGGTGCGAAAGGGAAAGAAACGGCAGAGAAAGTTAAGGCAGCGTCATCATCTAAGTTGTAGGATCGTTTTAAAATTAGTAAATTACTTCAAGTAGAAACATATTTGTTCCGTACCAGTTCAAATTTTTTAAGCGCTCTAAAAACAGCGAAAGTGTTATTTCAATAGGTAAGTCAACAAGGAA